CTTCAATGCAATTGTAACCGTGTTGAACACGTTTTTGTTTTTTTCTCTTCTTTCACGTGAATCTCGTGGCAGTTGCCACGTACACTGGGACGGTGTGTCGCTTTTTTTGGCTTTAAAGTGTGTCGGTGGCTTTTAATGAAAGCATAATTTATATTATTTTAGTCCAGGACACAAGAAAAAAAAAGAGACTGAAACACACAACTGAGAAATCTCGCCAAGTGTGCGCGAGAGATGGAGAGAAAGAGAGCGCGCGCACAAGTGAAAGAATAAGAAAAGGAAACTGTTGCCGATGTGACAAAACATGATTTATGAAAATATCGTCTTAATTTTAAACTTATGCAAAATTTATGAGTTTGTTTTCATAACCTTGGGTCGGCATAACGATTTTGTGGACGTACGCACAAGGGGTTTTCTATCTCTTTTGCTCGCCTTTTGCCCAGACACAATTGCCTTTCCCTCCCTTTTTCGCGCTCAGCTTTTCTTTCTTCGAGAGACTTTTCTTTCTTTTGCATTTGGATCAACCACATCGCGACTTAGCATCATAAGAGAGGCGAGAGCGAGAGAACATCACAAGAAAGAGTGAACGAAGGCAAGCGAACGACAAGGAGAGCAGAAAAAGCAGCGAGAGAGAGAGAGATAGAGCGACATTGTCGAAAACTGAAAATGTAAAAATGGTAGCGGCGAAAAGAGTTTTGCGATTGTTTTCATTTGAGATAAAACGCTACCGAAATACACTGTTATGCAAGTCAGTCTATGTTCACGTTGATGGTGTGTGCGCCGTGGAAAATTATGTTCGGAACCGAGCGAATGAGCAAACGATTGAGAGCAAACTAGAGAGAGAGAGAGAGAGAGAGAGAGAGCGCGTGAGGTGGGTGGATTGGATAGAGTGCGACTTTTTGTTTTTGGCTCACCATCAAGATTCATAGATAATAGCCGTTTTGGCATTGATAAGAGGGTGTGGATTGCCATGGCACATAAATAAATCTCAGCGTGTTCGGCTCCCTCCCCCATTATCGTTGTACACGATTAATAAAATAAAATAAATTAGATTTGTTAAATTGTTGTTTTTTGGCGGACAGGTTTTTCCGTTTGCCAACAAGCCGATTCACTGGAATCTGATTGTCGTAGACACCGCCGCACACCGTAAAACCCCATGTACAACTTTATTTCACTGATTAAGAGACTGTTGCACGTGAGGTGGGGGACAGCAGCTATGATTTCTGGCCGATTATAATTTATTGTACGGACATTTTATCAAACAACAAGTTAGAATATTCTTGCGGCGTGTTCGCAACACCTCACCCAAAACGATAAGAAGATTTTTCCGAACATTCGCGCATCGTTGGGAAAAAGTTGGTGGCGAGTCGTACAGCCGCGAATACTTTTTATCGGAAACACAACAATTGCACGCAATTCAATTGAGATGGTTTCAATTTTAAACGATGGAACACGAGACGCTTCCAAACAATTACTCAAACATGATAAATAATGCATTCGACAAGGCAATTCCCAGACAACCCAGTAAGATACAACTTTTCATATTTCTCGGATAAATATAAATCACACACTTTTGACAATTATGACTATCAGGTTGGATCAAAGCGACAAGAGGCAAAAATACAGTGGCATTGCACATTAAGCCAATTGTTCCAATGATTCATTGGAAATGAATTTGGAACAATTTTCGGGTGATTTTCAGTATTCTTCAGTTATTCGGTCTTGTTTTGAAAGGTCTGGGAGTTTTTTTTTTTGTGTTGAACCAAAAATGAAAAACAAAAAAGTGGAAGGAGAATTTAAATTAGGTTAAAATCAGAAAAAATGTTCAAAAATTGTAATTTGGAAGGCAATGAATAGGAGAATTCCTCAATTAAAGTAGAAAATTGATTGCAAAAAACGTTCAAAATTCTTCAATAAGGCTAGGAAATGGTCGAAAATCATTAAAAGTACTCAAAAACCATGAAAAAAAAATCATCAAAATAGTTTGAAACCACCCAAAGTTATTAAAAAGGCTCAAAAATCAGCAAGAGTGAATCATTGAAAAATCGTAAAAAAAAGTGAAAAAATCTCACATATGTAAAAAAATCGCCCAGATTCGACAATTTGAAGAAAAAATCGTACAAAGATATGCAAAAGATGAAAGAACCGAAGAGAAAAAATCTTCCACCACCAAAACAAACCCATCTCCTCTATGCATCTTCAGCATCATATTTATGTCAGTTGTGTCAAGTTGGCACAGCCTATTACTGGAAATGATTCGAAAACTAAAACAGAGCGATTAATCAATTGAGTGAATTGTGTTTTTTTTTGTAATCGATGTGTGAGTTATTAAAGTGTTACTAATTTTGGTCGTTTGTCGTTTCGTCATCGTTTGTCATCATCATCATCATCACCATATCTAATGATCTTAAATGGATGCTTCTGAAAGCAGTAAAAAATCGAATCAAAAGCGAATCCAAAATGGTTTTAATTGAAGTTCGTGCGCGCGTGCACGTACACACATAAATGAACAAAAAATTCTAGTTTCAAGCTGATCTTATCCAATTCAGTTGGTATGCATAATGAAATTGATCTGTTCTGAATCAATTTCAAGGGAAAAAAATTGAGGCACCAAAATCATTATTATTGAAAATGATGGGAGAGAGTCATAAAACGATCAATCAAAGTAAAGCGATAAAATGATATTTTCATGGCTATGCCTAAGACTCTAAATGACGACGACGACGATGGACGAAAGTTAGAGTGAGTGTGAGAGAGACACAGAGAGAGAGTGTGTGAATCTGTTGAAATAACTAGCAATCGAAATGACAATCAAATCAAAATAAATGCTAAAAATTGTAGAATGGCTCAATGCTCTAATTTACACAATTAACCAATGTACACATTTAATTAAATGGAAGAAAAAAGGGAGCGAGCAAGCAAGCTAGCAAGTAAATGAATGAAGCACGATTTGAAACGGTGGCGACGACGACGCAAACACATTCGTTTCGTCTTTGAAATGAAAAAAAGAACAGCACTTTGTATGATCCCAATTGAATCTTGGTCCAAAATATGGATATATATATATAAGGTCATACTGTCTTCAAACGACGTACGTATTTACTTTGAAATGCGATAAATATGATTGCACATCGACTTAAAGGCAGCCAGGCTGCGGTCGATTATTATTGAAAGTGATCGTGATAACGAAATACCGTTCAACTAACGCGACAGAGACGAAGAAAGAGAGAGAGCCACTCATTGGGCGACAAGGAAAATAAAGTGTTGTCGCAAATGCGCGCGAGTGCTAAAATGTGACACACATTGCAGCAACAACATCAACTCATCATCAGCCTGGGTATATCATCGAAATTCTCTCCTTATGATTATTACAGTACATGCGTTTAATTTAAGAAGATATTCGTGATTCTACTTAACATCGATTGACCCCTTTTCGCGTATCTGACGCTATAAAAATCCATAGAAACAACTCAACATCGGTCGCTGAGAGAGGGACAACCATATCTCATCATTAATATGTCGTCGTTTGTTCTCTTTCTCTCTTCTTATCTATCTATAATTCGAATTTTTCGCTTCTTTTTTTTCCTCTTCGAAAATTTTTTCTCATTTTTTCCTCGTTTTGTCATTCGTATGCATATATTTGTTCATTTCAATTGGTTCAGAATGCAGAAAAGAATGTGTGTGGTGCAAGTGTGCGCGTGTGCGCGCTCGGCTTAAGCCAAACCGATTGAATCCATGAATCCACGCTTTTGAAGTAACAAACGCTTGGTTTTTCTTTTCTTTTCGAATAATTTTAAAACATTGTGTCATATCCAAAGGAATCTCGAGAAGCGCAGCTAAATGCGATTTGATATGTGTATGTTGTTCATTTGTGGCGCATTTGATTCTGATCCAATTTAAAATTTAACAGGCAACAATGCTTTGTTCTACGCCACAACTAGCGGGCAACGGCGCGTTTGTCAACAATTAATCGTGTGAATGTGTGATCAAAGCTGGCCTCAAGTGCACAAGCATTAGTATTAAATAGATGATCATTGATCAATTGACAACGAACAGCGGCGCGCACAACAACAACGGCACACATGCCAAATGGAATTTCCAAGTCATAGAACACAAAATTAAACAGGCGTCTAGTGTCTTTTGTGTATGATATAAACAAACATCAATTTGAATCGAACGAAGCGAAGCGAAATAGAATCGAAGAAGCGTGAAATATAATCAAGGCACATTGATTTGGGCTTTGTTGTTGTTGTCTTTTATTCATCGTTTTATTTGTGTGCAGAAAGACACTTGGCCTGTTTCAAATCGATTTCTAACGATCGATTCCCATTGACTTGACTCGGACGAATATATCTATGCGATTTGATGACGTACAATCGATTGTCTTGTCGCGTTCTGATTTCTAGTGCTGCTGCGGCTGATGATAATGATGCCTCTTTGCTGCTATTCGTTTGCGATATATGATTCGAGCGAGTTAATAAACCCCGATCCCAATTGATGAAACTGATTGAATATCACATTGATTAATTTGTGTTGATATTTTTTTGCTCTCTCTCTCTCTCTCTCTCTCTCTCTCTCTCTCTCTCTCTCTCTCGCTCTCTCTCTCTCTCTCTCGTTGGAAACGTGCGATGATGATTGTTGTCGTTCGAAATCGACTCGCTCGCTTCTTCGTCGTCGTTTCTCTTTTTCTCACTCTCTTTTTAGCCCTCTCTTTCTCGCCTATTTAATTTTTCACCCATTTCATTGTATAGATTTGCTTCTAATTGATAAAAAAAATGTTGTCACCAATGAGCACATCGGTTGGCTATTTGCAAAACGGAAGACACACGTATTAAATGTATGGAACATTTTCAGGTCGAAATGATTTTAAAGCCATGCTCAACATTTAGAGACTCAATCGGCCGACATTCTTTCTGTTCATAATCATCAGCACATCAATTTTCATATAAATTTTTCACACATTCGACTAAACATGACCATTTCCCATTGCAAATATTTTTCAGACTCAAGCGTTGGCATTGACACGACCAAAATCGGAATTAGTATTATCACTGCAAAATGATTCGTCATTAACGTCGGCGTCCGGCAATAGTGCGACCAAAGACAGCTACGAACGGCAACAGCAACAGTTACAGGTAAGGTGTTTTTGATATTTGTTCGAAAAATTATATGCGAATTGTACAATTCGTATAGTGGGAGAGAGTGAGGTATGGGGAAATTGAGGAAGATTAAAATCATTTTGACTATATGTGTTAAGTAAAATGTTTTACTCGAGCAAAAATGATTTTCAATGTTTTCGTCCCAAACAAAACCCGATGTTTTAACATTAAAAACCGAAATTTGTTGTTCATTTCCAAAAGCAGTTGCAACAGCAGCAGCAGCAGCAGCAGCAACAGCAACAGTCGACACCAAAACAGACGTTGGCTCAACAGGAGCAAGCGTCACCACTTAATAGCGAAAACAAAGCCCCAAATGTGGATCACATCAAAAATCAGCTTATCAATTTTGGATCACATGAAAAAGCGCCGCATAATGACATTCGAGACGAACTAAAGCAGCAAAAATCATCAATATCATCATCATCAAACCAACAGCAACAACAGCACCAGCACCAGCACCAGCAACAACAACAACAACACCAACAACATCATCATCAACAGCAGCTGCAGCAACAGCAGCAATCGAATGCCAGCGAAATGCGAGTTAGTCCAAAAACAAACTGCTTTAGTTTGTCAGGAGCATCAGCTCAATCGGAAACAGCATTAGCTTCTAGCGATGATAATACCATAAGTGGTGGTAATAATCAACAACTAGCCGGTAATTGTCCACCAACAACACCGTTAGCGGCCATTTCAACAGCAACAAGTCCATTAAACGAAAATGGGACGGCGGCTGCTGCAGCGGCCGCTGCTGCCGCCGCTGCTGCCTACATGCAAGACAAATACCTACCATCGTCGACCACATCGCCATCCGATTTGCGCAAAGAGTTCGATGCCAAAGTAAATGGTGAGTACACACATAAACACTTTTCCATGCCATCGTCCGTTGCCATCGGTTGCCACCACCATTGGCGACGATGTGCACGATATGATTTTTGAATAATACATTGATTTCGGGTGTGATTGATTTGTGTATGCGGTCGTGAGTGAGTGAGTGAGTGCATGTATGAAAGTCGCACACTGTGAGACAGAGTGATAGAGCGATTGTGCAGCTCTGCTGGTCGACAAGTATGTGCAACAAAATTTTTTATGAATAATTATGATTGGGATTAGTCAAATGCAGTTCGATAAAATCCTCGTCTCTTTTTTATCTCCACAGACTATTGGTCGAAGGGATAGAGACGTGAAAACTCGATTTTCTTGCCTTTCTCCATCCATCTATGTGTCACTCCCTTTCTCATTCACTTGTTCACTCTTTCGATCACCCTTCATTTTCTTTTTTACGGCACAGTGTCCGAGCACCGATTTCAATATCTATCGCCTCGACCGACCGGCCGCTTTATCGATCATGTGTGTTCGCATTTATTGCGGTACGGACGGAGCAAGACCAGTAGCAGCAAACGTGCAAGTGTGACACAATCACGCGCTGATAAAATCACAAGTCCATTAGTCATTGTTACAAATTGATTCGAAAATGCAAAATGCGTTAGTCCGATTGTAGCCAAATGCGATTTGTGTTGTGTGCTATCATATTATCTTCATTAACGGCAATCACTTCACATGGCCTGTTGCTGCCCAGGCACTATGTCGTTGCACACACACACACACACACACACACACACACGCAAAAAACGTTTCACAGCGTTGTTTCCCCCCCCCCCTCTCTCTCTCTCGATAAATCCCAATGATAATGATTTAATAAACTGATAAAATGACAAAATATCAAAGCGAATGCACCTGAATATGTATCTCGTTAATCGAAAATCGATAATACCATACCACTTTTTTTATTTGCCATTTTTCAATATAATAATTCAAGGATTATTGCGAGACGGTATTATTCGATGCCTGCAGCAAAGCATTTTATTGATATATGATAAATGGGCAACCGATTTGATTTCCCGAGATAACGACCAACAAAAACCAAAAACACCGGTGGGATTATTGATATAACTGTTAACAGTTCAAAAATCGCGGGAATGAGCAAAACATGAAAAACAACAACAACAACCCAAATGATAATTGAAATTAATTTAATTGGTTGCATCGACGAAAAAAAGAGCACCAATGTAGCAGCAACAGTATGCGTGACGCTTCATATTTCGGGGTTTTTGTGGCATTCAACAAGTGGATTTTTGTTTACAGTGTACACACACGCTTCCTTTTGCACACATTCTATTTGTTTCTGTCCCTTGTTGAAGCCCTTGAAAACATGAACCACTCAACAAAAAACAGCTGATTCATTCGAAGATGTGTGAATAAGCATAACATTTTGTTGCATGTTTGTTCACGTTTAGCCGTTCTCCCAGCGCCTTCTCTGTGAATCGAATTGATTCAATCAACCGCTTGATATGATATGAAGAGAAGTGCGCCTACGGCGATATGTTTGAAGAGTTTTTTTGCCTATCGCCGTCTGTGTTGTTCTGAATAATTTTAAGGAGGAAAATGTATTCGAAAATCGAAATTTAATGAGCTATACATATAGGTGGGTGCTAATCCAACATCCAAATTGATAATGAATCAAATTCACTATCAAAGATAAATTGCCTCGAACTACTCGTGTTAGTTCGACACTATTTCCAGTTCGAAAGTCGGAGAATATCATCACTGACAATGGAATTCTATTGATTGTCAACACTGAAGTGCCTTGTATCAGTTTTTGGGTGCGACACGCTAACATATCCAACGCATTTTCGCACCTTGGTTCAAAGTTTAACTGAGAAATTATTAGTAATTCTTTCCATTCAATTTGATTTAATCCAAACTATTTTTTACCGTATTACGACATGAAGTTTCCAAAATGACTATGGGACAAGGGTTTCAAAAAGAGTCCATTTTGAAATTATCGTTTTTATTTTTGAACTTTTTTGCGAGTAAAACGACTAATTTCTTTCGGTTTTCTTCGTTTCATATATCGACTCTCACTATTCTTGAAGAACAGTAGTCAGGGTGACGCGATGATTTGTTTCAGTGTACGCACAAAACTATTTATTGATTTTCCATTCAGTACTTAAGAACTAAATCTCATTTGGTTGTTTTCCGCAAAATTGCGCGCGCGGAAAATCTCAATCGGATCTCGTGTTTATTCGTTGCCGCTAATGCGTTTGTGTCACACCGAGTTGTGCCGTTTCGCATTTGATGGTTCGCGCGAGTGCAAATCGTAGCGGTGCGAGTAGGGGCAAGAAAGAGAGGATAGACTGCGGCAGTAAGTGAGACAGAGCATGGTTCGCATTTTTTTTTTTAATTTAATTATCCAAGTTGTGGTAGCATTTATCCAATCTTAGCGTTGAGCTGTTCTTCTCGGTATTTTTCGCGAAAGGGAAATTAACCTTCTTTACATATCGACGCAGAAGAAGAAGAAGAAGGAAGAAAACATAAACACAGCACCTCCCGAAAAGCATAAACAATAATAATTCTGAAAATAGTTTTCGACGATAAAATGTCGTTGCGTGAGCTGTACTTCATTTTCTCTTTCCCTCTCGCTCTCTTCCATTTATTCCGCTTCTTATGGATTATTTCGCGTTCGTATGTGTAATACAATTTTTTTTTTCTCTTCTTCTCTTCGTTATTCATTGGTTTGCTAGTTAAGTTTTTCGGTAGTCGCTCGGCTGTTGCTTACTGTTGATTCTTTTCCGTTGATCGTCTTAAGACGAATTAAAACTTAAACTATGTGCAAAGATAATAAATAAACGAGACTAGACTCAAGAAACACACATCAGCTCTCTTTTAAGCGAAAAAGATTTTAAGCTTATGTATTAACAGACACACGCACCAAAAATCAACTCACTCCATATTAGATAGATAGATGGAGAGAAAGACGAGAGCGAGAACAAGCACACACACAAAACACATATCGTTATTCATTATCTGCCTTTATCTGTACATGTCGCGCACGCCACATATCACCTCGTTTTCACTCATTCAGACGAAATGCCGGAAAATGTTCGCACAATTTATACACACACACACACACACACACACATATGAACGCACAAACACACAAACAATTTGTGAACGCGCAATACACTGTGTTAATATCCTCTTATTCTGATTTAAAGCAACAGTCGACCGAACAAAAGCATTAGATATGAGATTAAAATTAAAAGAATAAACCCCCTCCTGGTATTAAATAGTTATCGTCATCGCACATTATATTACATCATTTGACGTTGCGTGCACCACGATTTGGCCGATCGATTGGTCGATACAACCGAAGCAATTTCAAAGTATTGATCTAAATGCGATACAAAACTATGATCTCACCTGATAAACTTTTGTTTTTTATGGGGTGAGACTGGCTTTTTCGTTGGACATCGATATTTATTCGGGGTTTTTCACCATTTCCTCGCAATTTTTTTAGCAATTTTTCATAAAAAATCATAACATTTTTGGGGCATTTGCTTTGGTTTCTTCACACACCTTTAAATGTTGCGTACTTTGAAGAAAAACTCTTCAAATCTTTCGCAATATTCAACACAAGTCCACAACTTTCAATGATCTTATCATTTTCAATGATAACAACCTTAAATACAAAGTAGTTTTTGAATGAAATCGATTCTTAAATGAATTAAATGGAAATGTCGCCCTTTCCAACTGGAAATCCTTAATCCTTTTGATGTATGAAATTAGTAATCGTTTGAATTTTTCACTTTGAATCACTGGATTCATTTCATTCGTTTCTTTTTGGCTGATCGAAAACTCGAACGATTCCAAAGAGTTCGATGGGAAACAGAAGAGAAAAATTCGCGCGAAAGGTGAAAAGTGTCGGTTTCATTTGTGTTTGAATCGGTCTCGGAATTGAATGTGCAATCAAGTGGGTTGAAAGTCATTGTGAAATGGTTAGCGAGACACAATGCGCAATTCAATTGTCCATTGTTAGAGCATAAACCGCATTGAAATTTCAATTGATCAATGATTTGTGATATGGTTTTTGTGTGAGTGTGTGTGTGTGTGTGCGGTTTTCGTCATGAGAGGTCCATTTGAGATCAAGTATGAGATTTGAGATGGCACTTGAATTAACTTAACTCATATGCAAGCACTCGATGGCAAAGTGCTCCCTCCCTCTTCTCTCTCGCCATCTCTCGCTTTGATGCGAACGTTGTTCAATGCCACTTGAAAAACCATCCTCCATTCATTGCTCTTTTTCCCCCATTAAATTGCGCTATTTACCTCTTGATCTTGCGGAAAATCGCACAGCACAAAAAAACACACACAAAAAAAAGGAGCAGCGAATTAACATGCAATTGTATTTCATTTGGCAGCGTAACGAATATTCCCGATTTTTATCCATTAATATAAATCCGATGGGCATTGTTTTGTTTGTTGCACCCTTCGTATCGCAACCGCATTGGTGATGCGAGGGTGTGAGTTCATCAGAAAAATCTTTGGAATGTCAATCCTTTTGCAGCGAAAGAATGAGCTAATCTTAAGACGAGAGAAGGGGGGATGCCTATAAAAAAAACACACACACAGTGTATCAACATCGTCTCAAGAATGCCGACGAAGTGCTCGGGCCGAAGATCAATCGAGACACAGAGACGAAGAGAGCCGAAAATCGGTTGGCACTTAAAATGAAATCCGGGAAAAGGGCAAATATACTTCGATGAACTTGAACGTCGCACAGAAAAGCGGATAAATGAAATCCATTGAATTCGTCGTCATCGTTGCCATTGCGACTGTCGTTGTCAGCGACAATTTTTATGCGCTCTTTTCAGACGCGTCATTTGAAAGCGATACACGCAAAATATCTCTTGCAATGCCAAGAGCAGGGGAGAGAAAAAGGGTTAGCGCAAAGACACGAAACGAAATGCAAAGCAAGAGCGACAGTCTACTGAAAGCGGGTTTTGA